TCCCTCATTTACTCTCTCTCTCTCTCTCTCTCTCTCTTTTTATTTTACGTTTTGCTTTTTTTTCAACCGCAACGCGAACCAAGCGAACCGAACCGAACCGAGGAAAGTACGAAAGTGTTAGACAGAAAGAGAGAGAGAGAGAGAGATAGAGATAGAAAGAAGGGTTCTTTTTATTTATGGCTTTCTCGGAATTTCTCGCGAACGGCGGCTCTGCGTACTTTACCGTCAGCATCACCTGTCTAATTTATGAAAAATTCTCGAGAGTCGAAAATTTACCGGGCGTTAAAACATAGTTTATTCTTATATTTAAAAGAAGAAGAAGAAGAAGAAGAAGAAGATGAAAACAACAACAAAAAAATAAGGAAAGAAAAAGACGTTCACCGTTAAACCATTCCTGATTACTCGCTTAACTATCTTTTTATTTTTTTATTTTTTTCTTTTTTTTCGCTAGGGGATTATAAACTTTTGATTGTTTTCGAAAGTTGTGATTCTCGATCGATGAAGAAAATGCGCGTGCGAGAGAGAGAGAGAAAGTAAGAGAGATTTAAAAAAGAATGACCAATCGGAATTCGCGAAGAATCCCTTAGAAACAAGTAACCGAACTATCCTTTGAGGTTTAAAAACGAAACTGAACGTAGAAGAAAAGTTTGTTTAGTTGAAAGATCCTATTGCCGAGTCGGAGCCGTATTCGAAACGAGCCTGTTAATGGATGCTGCAGATTTTTCCTTTTTTTATTTTCATCCTTTCCTCCCCTTTTCTGTTTTCACTCTCTCTCTCTCTCTCTCTCTCTCTCTCTCTCTCTCCCCTTTTTCGGTAAACTCGCACGGACACCTCGAATATTTACACGCGATGATTCCGAGACTCCGTTGTTTGTTTTTTACGTAAATTGACGACACGAATAAAACCACGTGCCACTCTAAAGTTAAATTCAAAACCACGAGAAGAATGTATCGAATTCGAAAAATGTGTAATAACAACGATTACAATCTATTTATTTAATATTAATATTATATTTTAAATGATAAAATATCACAGGGAACTTGGACATGAAAAGAAATAGAATTTAATTTGATTAAGTTGAACGTTTCGTCCCTTTATTGGGACTTCTTCAGCAACTTAATTCATCAAAGTTCAGCGTCTTTTTTATTTAATTTCAATCATACATTTCTTTTTATAATATTCTAAAACACAATACATTTAAAACTTCGTTAGTTTGGTCGTTATTATTTAAAAGCTTCAACAACTAATAATAATAACCAATAATAATCTACTTCTTTTCATGTCCAAGTTACCTGTGATATTTTATCATTCAAAATTATAATTTTGGACGAGAAAAAATACTAAATAAATTAGTATTATATTTTTTTTTCTTTTCTTTTCTTTTCTTTTTTTTTTCTTTTTTTTTTTCGTCACGTCGTTTTATTTGTCGATAATAAAAATATATCAATCGAGTTATACGTTTGATAATTTTTATTAGAAATAATTCGGAATAATAGTCGAGATTCGTGATTACGCGTTAACGTTTATAATAGTTAAATTTTTAACGACGACAATTACGACGACGACGATCGTGCGATTAAATATTATCCAAATTTAAAGTGGATATTTTTATCTTCGTCCAGAGGGAGAGAGAGAGAGAGAGAGAGAGAGAGAGAGAGAGAGAGAGAGAGAGGTCGTTAAATCGTATCGAAGTAGTACGATGGTATCTAAGAACGGTGACCCGGATAACGCGTAAAAATAACTATGAAACTATTATCGATTTTTCTAAAAGGAATAAGAAATAATATATCTCTGACCCCTCCCCTCCCCTCCCCTCCCCACTCCCCTCTTTTTAAGAATAAGGAACGTTTTCTAAAGAATGAAAGAAAGGTGGAAGAAGAAGGAGTGTTTATGCAAGCACCAGAAGCGAATGTTTGGCACGATTTGGTTACCAGTCGTCCGGGTAATAAAGCACAGAAAAGCAAAGGGAGTTTAAGTAGAACACCGTAAGAACCGACACGAACGCGTTGCGGAGGATGCGTTTTATGGACCTTAACCCGCCTTCTTCAACTTGCTTAGAACTTCCAACTTTAATATGCACGAGTTCGAATGTCGCCTAAAAACATTTTTATTTTTTTTTTCTTTACAATAAACGAAAAGCTAATAATTGTTAGCTTAGAAAATAATTTTCTTTTTAACGATCGGGAAAAAAATTGATCTCAGGTTTTTTTTCTTCTTTTTTTTTTTTTTTTCTTTCTTTTTATGGTATAAGCCGGATAAATAAAATTAAAACGTACTATCATCTGTGGCGGACAAGGCTTCGGATATATTTTTGGAAAGGTTCTCCTTCTCTAAGCGCTTGAATTTCGTTGCACACATGGCCTCATACTCTTCGTAACAGGAAAGAAACCACGTTAAACCGATGAGTCCTTCTTGCCACGATGCCAGAGCGGATGTATTTCCGAAGGAACACCACCCGAGCACTGCAGTTTATTCACTGTGATCTTTTTTCAACGAGTTCTTTATTTCGTTTCGAATTGTTCAAAGAATTGTTCTGTTTTAAAAATGTGACAATTCCAACAATACTATATCGATTTATATATATATATTTTCTAATGAAATTTCATCCCATAAGATTTGATTATTTATTTTTATATTTCTTTCGTTCTTTCTCGCGCACACGTTAAAGTGAAAAAGAGGGAAAGGGAGAGTGAGAATAAGAATAAAAAGAATAAGAGAGGGTATAGCGATTTAAAGGAAAATTTTATGAGCTCATTTACAAGCTGATGACGGCTTACGAAACAAGGGTTCCTTGAGCAAACCTCTTTCGGCATGAGTAAGGTCGTCCAAGAGGGATAAGCTTTCTACGGTAAACTTTCGTCAACGATACGACTGGTGTGAGGTCACGATCGCGAGGTTGCCGACTTGAAAATTCGATTAAACTTCGTTACTACGTGTTTTACTTCAAATTATATAATATATATATATATTTTATACAATTAATTTATGTATTTATACATTAATCGAACTAAAGTATTTGTTCAGATTAAAATTTCTCACTGTATGAGATCTTTTGTAAAAACCCTATCGAAATTATATACGATTTTTCAATTAATTTATTTGCGGCAAAGTATATTGCTTTAATTTTCCCGGCATAAAAAAATATTTTAAATAGTTTGTTTAAACATAAAAAGGAAGCTTCGTTATTTCTGTGGTATTATTTATTTTGTTTTTTTTTTTTATCGTACA